AACTAAACTTAACTTACTTAGTAGTAATAACTAACGTACGTCTCTCTTACTTCCTCCCGTAACGAACGAACAACTACTCAACGAACAACAACAACAACTACTCTCTCTCTCTCTCTAGACGGGTAACCGTCTCTCTCTCTCTCTCTAAACAGTCTTCTGCTCCTTTGAGAACACTCTCCTCGCGATAAAGCAAAAGAGAACGAGAAACATCAGTTTCTCTGTCTCTCTCTCTCTAAAATTCACTGTAACTATCATCATGAAACCTCTTTCCACTTCCCCATTAAAACCCCGGCCTCTGCAAACTACACTCCCATTCTCACCATGAAACCCACCTGCAAAACCCTCCTTCCTCTCTCTCTCCTCCTCTTTTCACTCCTCCCAGCTCTTTCTCTCTCATGGAGACCCACCGTTCCTCTCCAACTCCTCTCTCTCCTCGCCATCAAATACTCTATCTACGATCCCTCTCTCTCTCTAAACGACTGGCAGTACCGCCATGGCTATCCAATACCTCCCTTCTGCACCTGGTCCTCCGTTTCCTGCAAACCAAACACCACCCATATCATCTCTCTAGACCTCTCTCACAAGAACCTCTCTGGTTTTCTCTCTCCTCAAATTCGCTTCCTAACCCAACTTCAATACCTCAACCTAAGCAACAATGGTTTTCAAGGACCATTCCCAACTTCCATTTTCTCTCTCTTAAACCTTACAGCCATCGATATAAGCCATAACAGCTTCAACTCCACGTTCCCTCTGGGCATCAGAGCCTTAGAAAAACTGACCCATTTCAATGCTTTTAGCAATAACTTCACAGGGACATTGCCATATGATTTACCCCATCTTCTCTCTCTAGAATTCCTCAACTTTGGTGGGAGCTTCTTTGAAGGCAGTATCCCGGCGAGTTTCGGTCTTTTTCCGGCCATCAAGCACCTGAATTTGGCCGGGAATTTGTTAACAGATGAAATTCCATTAGAGCTTGGAAACCTCACTCTTCTTGAGCGTTTGGAAATTGGGTACAATAACTTCATTGGAGGAATACCGGCTAAGTTTGGAAAGTTGCAGGAGCTCAAATACTTGGACATGGCGTCCTGTAATTTATCTGGTGTGTTGCCACCTGAAATTGGAAACTTGGGTGATATGGAATCTCTCTTTCTGTTTAAAAACCACTTTATTGGGGAGATTCCGGCTAGTTTCTCCAACTTAACGTCTCTTCTCTCTCTAGATCTCTCTGATAACCAACTTTCAGGTGAGATTCCAGTTGGGTTTTCTGAGCTTAAAAATCTCACCATGTTGAGCTTGTTGAAGAACAAGCTCAGTGGTCAAATACCTCAAGGAATTGAAGAGCTTCCAAATTTGGAAACTCTTCTTCTATGGAACAATTCATTTAATGGAAGTTTGCCCTCTCGATTAGGCCTGAATTCGAATCTTCAAGTTCTCGATGTCTCTTCGAATATGCTTTCGGGGCCTTTACCCGAGTCATTATGCCATGGAAACAAGCTTTGGAAGCTCATTCTCTTCTCTAATGCCTTCTCCTCTGAGATACCGAAGAGCCTCACAGAATGTGTTTCTCTGTGGAGGTTTAGAGTGGCCGGAAATCGATTTTCTGGCGAGATTCCGGCTGGCTTTGGTTCAATGAGAAACCTCACTTACATGGATTTGAGTTGTAACAATCTCAGTGGAAAAATACCAGATGATTTAAGCTCTGCTCAACGCCTGCAATTCTTGAACATTTCAGGTAATCAATTCAATGGAAACTTGCCAGAGAGTTTGTGGGGTGGTCCAAATTTGCAGATTTTCTCAGCTAGTTTCAGTGGACTTAAAGGTAAGATCCCTTCTTTCTCTCATGGCTGCAAGTCTCTGTATAAACTCGAGCTCAATGGGAACGCATTCTCAGGTTTGATTCCCTCTGACATCAACCATTGCCAAAAGCTTTTGAACCTGAGACTGAATCGAAACCAATTGAGTGGATCGATCCCTCGAGAAATAGCTGAGATTCCTGTGATCTCAGAGATCGATCTCTCTGAAAATTCTTTAACTGGTTTGATACCAGATAGCTTCGACAATGTGAGGACTCTCGAGAGCTTCAATGTCTCATTTAATCAGCTATCTGGTCCGGTTCCATGCTCGGGCTCGATATTTCGAAGCCTTCATCCTGCTTCTTTCCTAGGAAATGAGAACCTTTGTGGACTTATTGTGAACAGACCATGCCTAAACACTGGAAATTTGAATTCAAATTTGCCTGAAAATGTGATCTCAAGAGAACCCAAAAGAGCAGGAGTTCTGGTTTGGATAATGGGTGCTGTCTTTTTAGCTGGGATCTTTGTTCTAATAGTGGGCAGTCGATGTTTCATCAAGAATTACCAGATTTTGATCTCAGGAAGCAGAAGTTACAGAGAGGAATTAATAGAGGGGCCATGGAAAATGACCGCCTTTCAAAGACTGAATTTCACAGTCGAAACGGTGATCGATTGCTTAAAGAACAGCGACAATATCATAGGAATGGGATCAGCTGGTACAGTCTACAAGGCCCAATTACCAGGAGGAGAAACAATTGCAGTGAAAAAATTATGGGGAAATCAAAAAGAAACCATAAAGAGAAGAAGAGGAGGATCTTTAAGAGGAGCTTTGATAGAGGTCGAATTGTTAGGGCATGTGAGGCATCGGAACATTGTTCGATTGCTCGGCTTTTGCAGTAACAATGACATTACCCTTTTGTTATATGAATACATGCCAAATGGGAGCTTAGATGAATTACTCCACGGAAACAAAGAGGCCAATTTGTTAGCTGATTGGTTCACTAGATACAACATAGCAGTTGGGGTGGCTCAAGGGATATGTTATCTTCACCATGATTGTCACCCTGTTATTGTTCACAGAGATTTAAAGCCCGGTAATATTCTTTTGGACGCCGAAATGGAGGCGAGGGTCGCTGATTTCGGGGTGGCGAAGCTGATACAGGGTGATGAGTCGATGTCCGCCATTGCGGGGTCGTATGGGTACATTGCTCCTGGTTGGGTCTCCCTCCCTCTAGAACTCTCTCTCTATATATATTTTGCCCTGGATATGAATTTCTCGGTTTATCTCCCCTTTGAGCTCTATCCTTCTCTCTCCTCATTGCTCTGGCTATGAGTCTCTCTTTCCCCACATTACTTTGGTCATGTCTCTCTCTCCTTGAAAACTGGGAATCCTTGAGACCTGTTAATTCACTTTTCAAATTCCAATTACCTTCTCTCTGCTTCACTGTTCCCCTGTTTCCTACATTTTTTTTCTCAGCTTCAATTCTCAATGGCCGCTTACACACATTTGGTTCCGGGGTTTTCTCTCTCTACAATATCATGTTAAAATCTTAGTCCATCTTATTTAATGGAAATTTTATTTTATTTTACCTTTTTATTTTATTTTTTTGCAGAGTACGCTTACACCCTGCAAGTCGACGAGAAAAGCGATATATACAGCTTTGGTGTGGTTTTGATGGAGATTCTCAGTGGGCGGAGGTCCGTCGAATCAGAGTTTGGAGATGGTAATTTATTATCCTTATGATTTTGGGGAGAGAGCGAGGGAGAGAGAGTTCCTGAAATCTTGTTTGAGACTATATATGGATCATTAATTTGGGTTGATTTCCTATTTCATCGTACTAAACAACATTGAAGGCAAAAAATTCATGGCCTCGATCTCTCTTTCTTCTTTCTCTCAGGTAACAGCATAGTAGATTGGGTGAGAAGCAAGATCAAGACCAAAGAGGGGGTTTCAGAGGTCTTGGACAAGAATGTAGGGGCTTCATGTGGACCTGTGAGAGAGGAGATGATGCTTGTTCTGAGAGTGGCTCTTCTGTGCACCGCCCGTTGTCCGAATAACCGGCCCTCAATGAGAGATGTTGTTTCCATGTTACAAGAGGCGAAACCCAAGAGGAAGTTGCAGAGTGGTGGTAATGGCAATGGTGGTGGTGGAAATGGGAGCCCTTTGCCGAAATCAGCTGATTAATTGGTGGTGAAATGGTTGAGGGATTGGAGGGGTTTTAGAAACTTTTCCAACTATCTATATACACTTTTCTCACTGTGTTTCCTCTCTTGCTTTCCCCTTCCCTTCCCTTCCCTTCCTTTCCTTGGTCTCTCTGTTTTCAGTGTGTTTCCTCTCTCTCTCTCTTTCTTCTCTTGACAGTATTCTTCTCCCTCTCTCCTAATTTTACTTATCTCTATAGTGTTTCTTCTCTCCCTCCCTCCCCCCCTTTTGGTCACCTTCTCTCTCTCTCTCTTATGTACAGTGTTATCTCTCTGTTTTCTAGAGCTCTCTCTCTCTCTCTAGGCTTTTTTGCCCTCTATACAAGATTGGTTGCATCAACATCCTTTTATAACATAGTATGTGGTTCTTCTAATTAAGATGGTTATTGGTTGGATAGACATTTGAGAGTTGCAGGTGTCAATGGAGAGTTGTGATTGGTACATCAATGGATAAATTTCTTTTTCCTTTTATTTCATTACTCTCTCTCACCCCACAAAAACTAATTCAATTTCTTTAAGGCGTGAGGTTTGTATAGAGCCTAGGCTCTAAACAATCAAATTAAAGCCTACGTTCAAATATTATCGAGAAATGTGGTTTTAATTCTGAAAATATTTATGATAGCTTTAAAATATATTTTCATTTTTATTTATAAATTTTAAAGCTTTAAAAATAGTGTAGATTGATAGATCTATGAAAACTAGAAAATCTTGAAAATTGATGATCCAAAAATGAGTTATAAAATACACTATTTTCAAAACTTGAAATCTTTTTTTTTTTTTTTCATCTTGATGTCGAGATGATCAATTTGATGATATTTAAGCATCAAAATGACTTCTTCCACTAAAGTTTTTGCAGTAGGCTCAAATTTGATGGTTTAGAGCCTTGGTTTTATATAAACTTTTCCCTTTTTTAATTGGTGATTTGTAGGTGTCCTGGTAGATGTTTATTGGATAGAAAGAGTTTGGAAATTGGGGTTTAAGGGAATATGGAACGGTACTTTCTCTCTAAGTTAAGGCTTTAAGAGAATTTGAATAGACTCTAGAATGCAACAATATAAATTATGTTTTCTCTCTTCTCTCTATGTGACTAGGAGATGGTTTAAGAGAAGGGAAAGTTTACAATACTTCCCCAAATGTATAGAAAATATATATTTTCCACAGCCCTTCAATATAGATAAAGGGAGCCGCTAACCGTTTTATCTAGATCTAACGCTTCATAATATTTATTTTTAGTTATTTTTTACAAATTTTATGAATATGAAATTTGGTATGTGCCATCATCTCTCGATGGAGATCATTTAAAAATAATATTAAAAATAATTTTTATAAAATATAACGACCAAAATATCTTTCAAAATTTCAAAAGCGTTTTGGTTATTTTATTTTATTAAGAATATTATTT